TGACCTCTTGACCGAGGTCCAGCCCTGATCAGACTGGGTGCATGATGTGCTTTCTTTTAATCTGTTTTCCTCTGTTTTTAACTCTTCTTTTTAAAATTTATTTTCTGTAAGCCGCCCGGAGTCCTTCGGGATTGGGCGGCCTATAAATTTAATAAATAGAAATAGGGTGGGGTGGGGTAATGGGATGGATGCCTCTTGCATTTGCTGGACAAAACATGCCCCGTTTTGGCTGCCAGAGGCCCTGTGGCACAGTCATTTGTTATTTCCAGGCTGGCCCCACGAGCCACATTTAAGGCCCTGCAGGCCGGATTCAGCCTTGAGTTTGACACCCCTGGTCTCCTGTTCGGGTGGGGGATCGGACTAGATGACCTACAAACTCTGTTAATCTGTTAATCCCTTGCCATTCTGGAAATGGGCCCTGGAGTCTTTGGGGTTCTGCCCTGCATTTCCTATTGACCCAACAGGACTCTTAGATTGGCGTCCCTTCCCCAGGACCCCAGAACCCCCATCAAGAAGCTGCTACAGGCAGCCACTCCTTGTAGCTGTTGTCCAGTTCTTCATGCTGCAGTCGGAGAGCCTGGCACAGGGCCAGGTTGGCGGCTGCCATGAGACAGCGGAGGACCTCAGTCTCCTTCGGGGCCAGCAGGGGCCACAGTCCAGTTCCTGGCAACAGGCCGGCCGCCCCCATCAGGAGGCTGCCCACAGCCCCAAAGGAGCTTCCGGTGAAGACGGAGACAATGAAGATGGTGATGGTGACCACGGAGATGACTGAATGGACCACCATGGCCTTGGCTTCTTCGGTGAAGTAGCCCCAGCCGCCGGCCAGCATCAGGGCGCCTCCCAGGAGGACGTTGGCCGTGAAGCAGTCCCCATTCAGCCAGTGGAAGCCAAAGGCCAGCAGCGGCAGCCCCACCACCGTGCAGGGCCAGGAGTGGTCTGGGGGCTGGGCCCCATGCCGGAGGGGCCCGATGGGGACGGTTTCCAGGAGGGGCCCAAGGGCCTGGAGGAAAAACCCGGCTGCAGCTCCCCGGTTGATCTGCAGAGAGAGAGAGAGAGAGAGGCAGCAAAAGGGGCTCAGTCCTGGGGGGCTTCCCCCCCCCCCGCCACTCCCCTGCAGGAGTCTTGTCTGTAGGGACTGTGAAACCTCTGGCTGCCTCCCCTGCCAACCAGCCCCTTTCCTACCTGGAAGGCCCGGGCGGCCGAATACAGACAGGCAGCTGGCAGCAGGAGGTTGGCAAGGAAGGTGGCCAGGTCCTGTTCTTGCCAGCTGGGCATCGGGATGGAGCCTCTGCAAGAGAAAAGAGGGGGGGGGGAGAGGTTATCTGGGCCGCAAGCTGCGACCCCCAAGCTGCCCTCTATCCAAGCAGGGAGGAAGCGCGGCTGCAGGAGGAGCGAGGAGGGGCACGCAGCGCTCACCGGAGCCCCCTTGCAGGGCACGCTCGGAGGGCAGGCGTGGGGGAAGGTTGGGGGCTGCAGGTGAGCCTTCCTCCGGACAGTGGAAGAGACGCCACCCCCCTCCTGCCCCTCTTCTCTGGGGTGGGGGGCTCAGCTGGAGCCCTCTGTCTGCAACGCTGCGCAAAGGAGGGGTGGGATGGATGGCCTCTGGGGGAACCCTTCCTCGAGGCCCCCGCTTCCTGCAAGGCAATCGGCGTCCCAGACTCGATCGGGGCCCGGGAGCCACCGAGCGGCCCTCCCCTCCGCCCCCGGGCACGCGGCGCCGCGACCCCCCCCTCCCCGCCCGTCCTCCGTCCTTACTCGCCTCCGCCAGCCAAGAGTCCGCCGAGCGCCCCGCATAGAGTTCTTCTAGGCTAGAGCGGCACTCTAGACTAGAGAGAGAGAGAGAGAGAGAGAGAGATGCTGGGTCAGTTAGCGGGAGAGGCGGAAGCTGAACCATAGAGTTTCGCGAACGAGGAAGAGCGACCCATTGGCGCATGCGCGCTTTGCCAGCCTTCTGGCTGTCCCCGTTGCCGGGTGTTGTTTTGCGTCCCTCCTGACGACGCCCCGCCTGGCCGCGGATGATGGGGGTGGTTGTCCCCTCGTTTCCAGGAGCGGCTTCGCCCCGGACGGGGAGGTGAGCCAGCAGCGCCCGTTGGCCAGGACCTCCTGCGGACCCTCTGGCTCCCCCCCGCTCGGCTCTGGCGGCAGAGGATCCGCCCAGGCGCTCTGCACGTGCTCAGAGGCGCCCTCGCCCGCCGTGCAGAGACCCTCCTCCCGCGCCGCTATGGGGATCGTCAAGCTGGCCGAGGTGATCAAGGAGGAGGCTCCGGACGCCGTGCGCCCCGCCAGCCTTCAGGACTACCGCGGTGAGCGCTGCTACGCGCCCCCCCTTCAGTCCCTGAGCATGCACAGAGTGCAAAGAGTACCGGTCCGTCCTCCATCCCTGAGCATGCACAGAGTGCAAAAGTAGGCTCTCTGCTCTCGGTCTCCGACTGCAAAAGCGCTTCGTGGGCCTGCAGAGAGTGTAAAGAGAGTGGCCACTTTCACTTTCACTTTCGGTTTATTAAACTTGTATGCCGCCCTTTTCCCAAAGGGACTCAGGGCGGCTAACAAACCAATAGGGAATAGGGGCAATACAAAGAAAACGAACGAGACAGGAACAAAATCCAAAAAACAGATTAAAAAGTAAACTTCACAACAGCCGCAGCAACTCGAGTGGGGCTGGGAACTCATCATGGTCCACAGAGTGCGCAAGCCGCCAGTCTGCCTTCAGTCCCTGAGCATGCACAGAGTGCAAAGAGGGGACCATCTGCCCTTGGTCTTAGAGCATGCACAGAGTGCAAAGAGGAGCGATCCGCTCTCGGTCCCTGAGCATGCACAGAGTGGAAAGGGAGCCCTAGGGGAGCGGTTCCCAAACTTGGCAACTTTAAGACTTGTGGACTTCAACTCCCAGAATTCTCCAGCCAGCTGGCTGGAGAATTCTGGGAGT